AACATCTTGACCATATAGAATTCAACGAGGTAACATTCTAACTTATGATTATTTATTTTTAATTTATTTGTTGAAGTTATTTGTCTTAGCCCCATGATTTATTTTTACGATTATGAATAAGTTTTTATTTGTTGAAATTATTTGTCTTAGTCTTAGCCTATGATTTATTTTTAGATTCCAGCATTCAACATCTGATATGCTGCTTGGTAGCGTTCAACGAACCATGTCACCGTACGAAAGAAGGTATGCAAGACTATAGATGAGATAGGCATTGCACGAAGACCAACATACAAACCATTGAGGCACTCACCCATATTCGTTGTTGTTATTCCGTACCTATACCCTTTGTCTTGATGTAACGTCCACCTCTCATAAGGATGAGTTTCTAGCCAATCTGCACCTTCAGAGTGGACCTCCCTTATGCTCTTCATTTTGTCTACAAACTTTCTAGTCTGAAAAGCAATAGCTACAATAAAGCAAAATAAGGTTAGTAAAGGAGTATACGCATTCAACCAATTGATATAATCACAACATCTTATTTGTTCTTACCAGCGTGCCAAACTGCACGTTGTCCATAAGTTCTACCAAAGTGCTTCCCGTAATTGCTTTTGAAATTTCGTATGCACCAGCGCCACTTCCACCTAGCTCCTCGGGCAGGTCGTAGAAAGCATGTGCAATTCCATGGTGTCGATCAGAAAGTATGGCAATGTCCTTCCGTTGAGTGACACGAGTGTATAGTTGGGAAAAAAACCATGCCCAACTTAAGTTGTTCTCCGATTCGACTATAGCAAAAGCAAGGGGGAAAAGTTGCATACTGCCATCAACACTAGTGGCAACGAGTAGAGTGCCCTTGTATTTGCCGGTCGGAAAGGTCCCATCAACTTGGATTATTGGCAGACAATGGGTGAAACCATCAATGCATGGTTTGAATGCCCAAAATAGTCGCTTAAACACGCGTTTAGCACCCCCATAGAAATCTTCGTACTAGGCACAAAAACAGACCCATGATTCTTGTCCTCCATTGCAAGAATCAAACGAGGCATGTTAGCAAATGACTCTTCCCAATCACCATACACCTCTGCCATAGCTTTTTGCTTCCCATGCCATGCTTTCTTGTAACCGATGGTATAGCCATGTCGATTCTTCACTTCAGCGATGACACTCTTCACGGTGATCCCAGGTTGTGCCTCAATCAGATGTTTGATTGTTTGTGCAACCTTCCTTGCACTCAATTGTCGGTGATCTAGAGAAATCAGTGACGACCTACAAGTGTGATTGTTGTCTGTCTTACGAATGAGCCAAGCCCCATTTCTTTTAACATATGCCGCCGGAACATGCCACATGCATCCGTCGCCATGGTTCTCGCAACGAACATGAATTTGTTTAGTGTCAGAAGTGATGACACGATATTGAAAGCTTCTTCGCATAGCAGTTTCTTTCAATGCATCGACCACCTGAGGCTTTCCTCCAAATGTTTGGCCAACCACGAATCCAGAGTCAGGAGTCCATATTGGTATAGGAGGGAGGTCAGGATCGTCGTTGTGAGCATAGAGAGGATGTTGTGGCACCATCGTGTAGTGAGGTGTGGGGGGCTCAAATTCCCCCTCATCAACTTCCAGATCTTCACCATCTGAACTACTCATTGATTCTAACTCTTCATCTTCCATGTCGCTTGCCTCGCTAGTGTACGGAGGACTTGGTTTATCCATATATGGATCATTGTTGATGCCAGATGCTGGTGTAGATGCTTGTCTGGGTGACTGTCTGGGTGCCCTTATGTAATCCCATTCTTCACCCCATACTGGCCACTCCTGTCCGTCATGTTCCACCAATGGACCAGTTGCAGTTCGATCCTCGTATGTTGGCCATGGTGCATCATGCCGCACTCTGAAATCTCCTGAACCGGAAAACCCTCCTGATCCTTCACCGTGTTCGGTATAACTGCCGCCACCATATTGGCCAAAAACTTCTGTTTCGACATACACCTCAGCACTTGGAAATCTGTTCTCTGCAATAAATCTCACCATCATATTAATGTCATCATCGTCAGACAAAACTGATCCTTCATATACAAGTGCATAATCCTTGTAAACCGGCATACGGTAAGTCATCTTGCATACTCTTCGCCCTGCTATGCAACATCGTTCAGCACAAATATGACTGAGTTCTTGCCAAGTAAATATGCTCTCAATCCGGACAATACTTGATTCACCATCTTCGTAGTCAATACTATCATGAAAGTGTGTAATTCGACCATTCCACCGAATCTTTAAGTCGAATTTTCGAAATTTTCTACCCACTTCTGCAGTTTATACAAGCAGCTCATTACATACAGTACAAACAATACTAAATTAATCTAAAATTCTAATATGCTCATTCAAACAAAGTAAGCAGAACTTACCTCCAAAATTTTTCTTCTTTGCTCAGCTATGGTGCTCCAGCAGCTTCAGTTTGTGTTTGGAAGAAAGAAGATAGAAAGGAAGAGTGCTGCCAGAAAGTGCTAAGTGATGGCTTTTATTTATCGTAAACTGATGGAGTGGTTCGAGTCCAATACACTCGAACTACACTAGTTCGAGTTCATTAAACTCGATCTATGTCGACCAATAATTCCCCCCCCCCCTGCGCCCTATTATGGCGCATGTTGGATAGAAAGCGACTGGACAGAATGATTGAGCAAGTAGTTCGAGTTTAGTATAATCGAACTACACTAGTTCGAGTCCCTAAAACTCGATCTATGACAACAAAAATCTTATCCCTGCAACCCTATCCTGAAGCATGTCTGTGGGCCAGTAGTTAGAGTCTTAAGGCCTCGATCTAGTGCAGACTAAGATCGAGTGCGTTAAAGTCGTTGCACTACATCGAGGTTTTAGATGTTGATCTTACTTGATCGAGTTTTCCATACTCGATCAACTGAGATCGAGTCCCTTGTCATCGATCATAGTTGTTCGAGTCCTCCAAAGTCGAACCACTGTTGATCGAGTGTTTAAAAGTCGATCCGCTTTTAGTTCGAGTTTCTTATCGTCGAACTGGTGAGTAGTTCGAGTCCCATAAACTCGAACCCTTTGAAACTTCGAGTCCCATAAACTCGAACCCTATCCTGAAAATTTTATAAAACTTATGTATTCAGGGAATTATGTATAATTTTTGCTGTATTCTGGGAATTCTTCCAATATTTACTGAACAAGCATATACAATATTCGCGTATATATAGTTTCGTTTTTATGTATTCATCAACTAATCAAACATTCAAACCTCTATTTTCATATTTGAATGCAAGGTTGAACCGGAAAAATATGAGTAGTATGAAGTGTTTGAGCCAACTTCCTTGCTTAATTACTCCGTTGATGCGCCCTGGATCCTTCTCTCGTTTACTCGAGACACTTAGTACCCTGCACACGAAGCGCCTAATGGATCTTGATGGTCCGTTAGCACTCCAAGGCTCAAGTCAACAACCAAAGTTTTAGAGAGAGAAGTTATGATGGTTAGAGAGAGAAGTCCCAACCTAATTAAATGAGGTTCGCAAACTTCACTATTTATACTCGGAGCCTTGCCGACCATTGCCCCCCAAATCCGTCCCACGTCATCACTTCATTAAATGCACCGTACTTTCAAATTACCAGACGCCTCGACCATCTGACACCACGTTTAGAGGTCCGAGGCGCGTGACCTCATATAGGCTGCGCCCTCCTTACATTTTCGACCGTTATGCTATTTTGTCCTCATGCGCTTTGTGTCAGAATCCGGCCCCACTTCTCAAGTTTGTCCTCTTGCCCCCATTGGGTCAGATTCTCCTTCCATTGGGCTTATGCTTCAGATTGGGTTTAGTCTTCTGAGTCCCCTTGCTGGGCCTTCTCATGCCCCCAACATAAAGTTTGGTGATTAACCGTTACAAAAGCGAGTTGGTTAACCGTTTATCCAATTGTTCATTTGGTAAAATGGAATATATATATATATATATATATATAATACACTAAATTTAAGATTAGTTTTTCACTATCCATGACAATTTGTGATCAATATTAATCAATAAGCAAAAGTTCTAACAAATCATTCCATCTCAAAAAATAAATTATACAAAAAATTTATTAATTTCAAATTATAAAATTCTGGTGAAAGTTTATAGTTGATCACGTAAAGTCGACAACGATGTTGTCAAACAAAAATCGAAGAAACATAAATAAAATTAGCAATTAAAGTTGGATGGCTTTAGTTAACATTAAAGTATCGATCTTTTTAGATTTTGTTTGTTTTATTAAAATAGTGAACTAGTAGAAAAGTCAAATCAGAGCGATATCGGTTGGATGTCCACCGTTAAAAACTGTTCGGTCTGGTGATGACTGTGCAAGCAAACAAGTCAAGAGCCGCTATCATAATTGATTAGTTGTTCTATCACCAATCTTACTAATCAGTTCGGCTTGGTTCTTATGAAAAGATCATCACACATAGGGATGACAACTTTGCTCATACCCATGGGTTTCTTACTATCCAACCCAATTGGGTTGAGTATGAAATCCAAATAGATGGATATGGGTAGAGTTTGATGGGTTTGTACCCATACCCATTTTCTTTGGGTTGAGTTGGGTTTATATCAAATGGATTTGGGTTTGTACCCATGCCCAAATATAAATTACAGTTTGGTACCCAAACTTAATAGACATACATATTTAGTACCTAAATTTAATTTTTTTGCATATAAGTCCTCAAAATATCGATGGAAAATTACGTTTTGGTACCTAAATTTTTTTGGTCTTACATTTTGGTACCTAAACTTTTCAAGTTTTGCAAATAGGTCCATTTTTTGCATGTGTAGTTAAAACACCCTCAAGTAAATGGATATCCATATCCAACCCATACCCATTTAGATTATGGAAGCCCCAAACCCAAACCCAATTATAAACCCCCAAATCCATATGCACTTCACCCATACCCAACCCATTATCAATGAGTCTACTTGGGTTTGAGTATAATTACCCATGGGTGGATAATTTGCCATCCCTAATCACACATAGTAATCTATATTCATACATCCAGATTAATAATTTTTCATGTAATTTCGTCAATCTCATCAATCAATCAAATAATCATCTCATCAATCACCCAGCATTTCATGATTGTTTTGCCATTAACGATCTTAATCCTACAAAGAGCAGCTTTCTTTCATTTTGATCATAAAAATAAAGTGCCAACATGGAAACTTCTCCGTATATCAAGCTTAATTTTGATGCAAGTATATTTGTTTAATAAAATCACTTGTTTACTCTGATACGTACCATCTAATTTCTCCAACATTTACAAAGTAAAAAGTTAACACCCGTTTTTGATACATATCTGAGTGCGAAATATCACATAGCATTATTTAAATTGAAAATGCCAGTAATTAATAAACCATTTCCTTCAATCTCCTGTACAACCTCGCAGTCTCTACACCCACTCTGGTTATCTTCACCTGACCAAACAAAATCCAACACCAGCAAACTAGTTAAGATTTAAAAACCACGATTCTAACTACATTAATGAGGAAAAAAAGCATGATTCTATATATGTAGAATGCGTTTCGGTGGAGAAATTTTACAATGCTATATAGTATTGGTGCTATAGGTTTTTGCCTTTATGGTACAACTTAAAATTGTACATTTACGTTATGGTACAACCATTGGCGTAGCCAGAGATATAATCTAGTGGGGTCCAAACAAAATGAAGTACACAATTTGTCTCAATAGTAAAATCATTGTCTTGAGAAGAGGGGGTCCGTGGTTCTAAATTTACTAATCACACCTTAAAAATCCACCATTTTTAATGTATATTCATTTTCCAAGTGGGGTCCATGGACCCCACATCTCCTCACCTAGCTCCGCCAATGGGTACAACTTCAGATTGTACTTATACTTTTTGTACAAATTCTTTTATGGTACAACTTGAACTTGTACCTTTATGTGATGGTACAATTTCAAGTTGTAAAGTTGTACCATAACATAATGGTACAAATTGCTTTATGGTACAACCTAAACTTATACATTTAATGTTATGGTACAACTTTGAGTTGTACATTAAAGCACCAATGCTATATAGCATAATAGAAGTGCTCATTTCGGTGATGTAGAAGCATAAAATCGTAAAAAAAAATTAATCCGCGATTTTGACTACATTAATACTACACATACAAACATGCAATCGTGCTATTATTATAACAGGCCGATTCATGCAATGATTACGTTACGTAACGTACGTACCCGAGCATGGATTGTGAGGAAGATTTTGTCGGCCACGGCGGAGAAGCTGGCGCTGACAACTTCGGCGCCTTCTTGCTCGACCACGCTTATCGCTTCGTACATGATGAAGTAGTTCCTCTCCACTCCGCTCGTCATCAGCGAAACCTCTATGCTCGTCCCCAAATCCCTCACCTCAACCTTCCACGACGGTAACGAACCAGCACTACGCATTCCCTCGCCGGCGGGTGGTGGTGACGTCGCGGCCGCTGCTTCTTCCTTCTTCTTCTTGAGCTTCTCGATCCTCCGGCTCAGTTGGCCGATGTAAACCGCCGCCTGATCCAGTTGCTCCAGTTGCGATAACGCGTACTGAAGGTATATATATATGAACACACGTTAAACAAAGGGATGATTTTATTTGTTAAACCCTCTTTTCTACGTACATAATTAAGGTTGGAAAAAATCCATGAAAAAAAATTCTCACAATATAACACTTTGCAATCCCCCCACCCATTGTTATTATGAACCCGACTTGGGAGATCCTAATGGCTGCCGGTTTTCAATTCCCTGGCATCGATGACTCTATGGTTGTGGAGTTGATGGTCCTCCGAGATGCTATTAGGTGGTGCGCGCCTGGATCGGGGTATCACGTAGGTTAGTTTTGAGGACGATGCTAAGGTCATCATTGATAAAATCAACCAGGCAGATACTAGGGATAGTTGGATGGGTGCTATCCTTGCTGAAGTTGTGTATCATTTTGCTAGTCGCCCAAGGTTTAGTGTTCAATTTGTAGGTCGGCGTAATAATAGGGTAGCCCATTTGGTGGCTCGAAAGGCCCTCTCTTTGTACCCGACATTAACCTTACGTTGAAACGTAAATTACATATATAAAAGACATTTTATTTAAATACCTGGGAGGGTGGGAAGTAATTGGGAGGAATGAGGGAAACGAGGTTGGAGCACAAGCCTTTCATCAGAATCCTGCGGTTCTTCTCCACAGTCTTCCTATCCACCTGCTGTTTCTTGCACTGTTCATCATCGTGATCACTGTTGACAATCTTCTCCATTTCGTAGCCTGCAAAAAAGCCAGTTCAAAGAAGAGGGAATGGTGCTGATGATAATTGGCTGATCGATGGTCGGCCAAATTTATAGAGGAATTTAATTAGGTTGTTGGATACGTAGTACGGTCTGACTTCCAAAACGCGACATTGATTCTTCGAAAGACAGCGGGAGACTTGTTGTTTGTAGGTTAATTAAAAGTATTAATTAGTTTCATGGGACCAACTAATTAACCAACGACACTTTGGTCAATTGGCTAATAAACAATTAACTGGCTTTTGAAAATATGAATAGGCATATGCAGCACACTTTTATATTTATGCCTTGAACTTGGACTTACGCTTTTGGGTACCTTGAATTTGGACGTACACTTTGGATGGAAATGATTCAAGGCATTTAAACCCAACAACTATATATGTGAAAAAAATAGATAGGTACGAAACGATAAATTTTCAAAAATTTCATGAATTTGCAAATCCAATTAAATATTCATTAAATGAACTAGATTAATTAGATATTTTGACAGATGAATTGAATTGATGGACTGAATACAAAATTATCATATCTAATAAATAATTGGATCATTTAAACTCGTTATTTTGAATCTTTCTAAAAGTTGTTATCTTAAAATTTGGAAGGAAAAAAAACCCTTAAACTATTACTTTGAGGATTTCTATCTCAATTACAGTTTTCTTACAAGAACTTCATTTTATTTCTGCTCCTTCAAATAAACTTATCCACAGATGATAATTATTCACCTATGGATAATTTTACCAAAATTCGAGAAAATTCATTGATTGTTTATAGGATATGAATATATATATTTAAACATTTATTTAGATTCAAAGTCTGACGCTACTATCGCTCCAGACCCATACAAAAGATATCCTACTCGAAATAGTTAGCTATATAAAGGAAAAGTCTCTTGCTAACTCATGGTTAAGTTGGTTTTAACTTTAGATGGTATTCTATATCATATGATCAACATAACATCACTAGTTTTCATGATCTCCACTCGGCCCAAGAAAAAGGCCCTCCCAGCATAGGCCCATCAACTTCAGCAAAACCTAATAGAAAGAGCCCATAGATAGCCTCTCAATTCTCAAACCAGCAGCTCAACTAACCACGGGCGGTATCATAGGGCTGAACTGTGATGCTTAATTCAGATAATCCAATCCGGCTATTGTGCTAACAGCCACATTCGTGAGTATATACTCATAGAGTCAGGATTTGGTCACGTAAAATAAAATAAAATAAATAAAATAAAATGGATGGTTGTAATATATTGGCTTGGAGAAAGGCTCTATTTCCCTTAAATGAAAGTATGAGCTGGCTAGCCAGACAAGCTAAAGGGGAGAGACCACCAATAAAGGGGATAGTTATCATAAATGGTCACAATTCTATTAGCTTTGTACAAAATGGTAACAATCCTTTAATTTTGCACGTTTCGGTAAGAAAGGTTTGAGCGAATAACGAAATGGTCAATTCGTCCAATTCCGTCCAAAACTCCGTCCCAAAGCGCCACATCAGCATGCCACGTCATTGTAAATCATAATTAAAAATGGATTAGTCGGCCACTTAACCCGAGACTCCAACCGGTCGAAACCATCCTTTACCCATCACAAACCCAGATCATATCTTCAATTTGTCATTCTTCATCCCCAAAATTGCGAGTTGGAGGCGCCCTAGGAGACAGAACGTCTCACTCGTGGGAGCGATTCGGCGCCGTCGCCAAGTCCTCCTCGTCGGCATCATCCTCTTCGCAAATCGTGGGAGACGTTCTCCTCGCCAAGTCCTCCTCGCCGCCACCAAACCCCAAATCCTCTCGTCATAACCCTCTTCGCCGGCCGAACTGTAGAGATTGGTCGCGATTCTTCTGCCGTCGCAAAGTCATCCTTGCCTGCGCCAACTGTTGGAAGCCATCTCTTATCATCCCGACGTGCGGGAGAGCGATTCCTCCTCTCAACCTCTAATCAGCCATTCTCCTCTGTTTTCTTAAAACAGCTTCCCCTATTTATTTGTTGTTTTTTACAGAGATGGTAAAAGGTTTGATTGAAGTGAAGAAATGTGACGGAACTCCATTTGGAAAGAATTACAAAAAATCCACACTTAGAATCAAAACTTATGGAATAGAAATTGCAAGATTAAAGGTTAGGATTGTAAGACATGATACTGGAAGAAGACATATGGAAGTAGCTCTGTTTTTGTGCGTGGCCGGAAATTAATCTTTCAAACTCGCCTACCTAACTCCCTACTCTTTTCTTCGCCGTCACTCGATCTGGGTCGGTTCCATCATTTCCCTACTCGTTGGCGCCGCCATAGAGGCTCCCGACCACCTCGGAATCTTCCCTTCAGTCGGCGCCTCCGCCAGGGATGCTGTTGCCGACCTAATTCTAATTAATAATTGGAAATGGTGAAGAAAACCTAGCACCGCTCTTAGGGTTTGGGGTGAGCTGTTGCCGCAGTGGACTGGCATCAATTGTCGGCACCACGCAACATTGCCCCGTTGCCGTCGAGGAGCTCCGGAAAAGCATTTTTATAATTTGTGTATTGCGATGATTAACTGAATTTTTATTAATATTTTTAATAACGTGTCATGCTGATTGGGCAAAAGATAACAGAGTTTTGGACGGAAGTGGACGGATTGACCAATTCGTTATTCATTCAAACTTGTCTTACCAAAACGTGCAACATTAAAGGATTGGTACCTTTTTGTACAAAGTAAATAGGTTTGATACCATTTATGATAATGGGAGACCACCAATAAATTTTCACTTTCCATTTCATTTCTCTCTCTCTCTTGGTTGCCAAAAAAAAAAAAATTCCCCTCCCCTCTCTATGACTCAACCTCCGATTTTTGTTGTTCTTCTTTCACAATTCAAAACCCTCCGTCAAATCTTCTTCTTCTCCGTCATCGCCAATTCCACCGTCATTTTCTTCTCCTACAAACTCTGATTCTCCATTCTCCCTTCTATTTCTTCTTCTTTCTCCTCCATTTCTCTCTCTAGAACCCTCTCCACACTCTTCGATTGATTTGCCCTCTCTAAACTCGTCTGAGAAAAATAATATTAGTTGGCTATGAATGTTTTTCTGGCTGTCGTTCTTTACAGAATTCCATCTTCATTATCCATTTATGTCGCTGCTCCGTCTAATTTGCCTTAAGATCCTTCGAAATTAGGGTTTATGTCGGGGATATGAGACGGAATCCAAGCTCCATCCTCGATTCCCGTGTCCATCGCTGTTGATATCTCTGCGTGCACAAAAAGGTTATGGTAGAGAAGAGCGGCTTTTTCAGGGGGCCTGAAAGGGAGGGAGAAGTTCTCTTTGCAACCCCCAGATATGGGCGCAATTAATCAAAGCCAGAGGCCAATCAGAGGAGTTCTCTTTCCATTTTGGCCTAGATCGAGCTTTCTTCTTCCACTGGGTCATGTTTAAGTTCCATTGACACTAAATATGAGAATTCATGGTATTGAATATGAGTTGAGTAGACACTGAAAATGAGTTAACCTGGTATTTATAAGAGTTAACATCTATATGAATATGAGTTACGCTGGTATTATATGAGGTAACATCTAAATGAATATGAGTTGAGTAGACACCGAAAATGAGTTAACCTGATATTTTACAAAAGTTAACATCTAAATGAATATGAGTTAACCTGGTATCATATGAGGTAACATCCAGATGAATATCAGGTGAACTAATATCGAATATGACAATTGGTATATTTAAGTTTCATTGACAAAGACTATGAGTTAAGTTTATACAAAATATTATTTGAACTAACGATGAATATGAATTTAACTCATATTCAGTATACATATTTATCATATTTCTCCAAATTTTAATCTATAGTCGGGATTTTTCCAGAAATAGCACCATTAAAAAAATTACAAAAATAGCACCCAGCCCACAGAAATTCCAGAAAATAGCACCTTTATTTTAAAACTGCACCTCCAAGGTGCGGTTTACATTCGAATCGCACGTCCAAGGTGCGGTTTACATGTAAACCGCTTCCTGAGAGAGCGGTTTGAGGTTCTGGGCCAAAACCGCATCTTGCCCATGCAGTTATGTGTCTGGCCTAACATAACCGCACCTAGGCCATGCAGTTCTTTGGCTGACCTAGCAAAACCGCACGTTGAGGATGCAGTTTTGTTTCTCCAACACAAACCGCACCCTCAACATGCGGTTTTGCCCTGCGGTTTGTGTGTCGTCCCCATTTTCCTGACATTCACCATCTTGCCATGCAAGTTGACAGACGTGGGGCTGCATGGCAGATGAAAACCGCACCCTCCCCATGCGATTTTCAGTGATGATTTTGCCAAAAAAGGCAGCCCTGGGAAACCTCTTCTCTTCACACCTCTCCTTCTCCCTTTTCAATTTTCTGTTGTGGCTCCCTACTTCTTTATTGTTTTTGCGATTAACGTTAACTCGTAAGTTTATTTTGTATTACTTTTTATTGTGATTTGTGATTTGTGATTTTTATGATATTAACTGAACTACGGTTTTTTTGCAGATGGCATTCCAAAAGTTCGCTTGGGTTGCGGTGGAATGGTTACGCGGAAGAGGCTGGAAAGGGGGTCACCTACGTCGGTGGCAATTTTCAAAAAATAAAGGTCGCTACCAGACCGATGCTTGAAGACCTCCATCAAATGTGTACTAACGTTACTTGCATGGATGGCACGAGAAGAGTTGATCGTATGGTGTACCGATATCCAAACAGAGAAGGCGGGTCATTGTGGCATGATGAATATCTCATAACCACTAAGGAAGTAGATGCCATGCTCGAATTCTTGAGGTCCAATAATCTTTCCAAAGCCGAGATGTTCGTTTACACCGAGGCGGTCGTGGGCGTTGGAGGTCATTCTGGAGACGGTCAAACATCTGGTATCCATGGGAGAATCATGATAATCGCTTAAAATCTCATTTCCTTAGACATGCATCTCTTTATAAAGAGTCAAAGTAAGTGGCGCTATGTATTCGATTAAATTATTGAAAACAACCAATACGATTAAAAATGATCAAATTTATTTTATATTCCACTAAGTACATTAG